CAAAATATAAATAAAGAAAAAAATACAATAAAATATTGTTGGAGAGAACACCAACAAACAACAAAAAAACTGGACAGAATTATTGAAGAAGACAACAGCCAGACTAAGGAATTGCATCTTTTGTCCTATACGGTGGTGGTATAAATATATTGGACCTGGAGGGTACAGTCTTTTTTGGGTCATCTTTAAAGTGGAGGGGAGGGGGACTTTAACAATAGTCTAGGACATCTGAATCTGCAAAGGTTTTCCACATTTAGATCACCTGATACTGCTAAAGTTTTCCACATTTATGCCTCATTCACACGGGAGACGGCCGGCATGTACAGCTCTGTGCTGCGTGCACGGCCGTATCGGGCAGCTCTCGGGATGGACTGGTGCTGCGTGTGATTAGTACGCGGCCCCCATCCTTCTCTATGGGATTACGTGGCTGGATCCCGTCTGCGTCCGAGCTGGGTCACCTGCACCCGTACAGACCTGCACTTGAGGTGAGCGTAGGGCGGTGTACGGCCGCGTATTCCCATAGAGAAGGACGGGGGCTGCGTACTAATCACACGCAGCACCTGTCCTTCCCGGGAGCTGCCCGATACAGCCGTGCACGCAGCACAGAGCTGTACATGACGGCCTTAGAGAGCTTTTTAAAGGTTACTGGGCCCAAAAAAAAAACAACAAACAAGGAAATGATGTGCAAAGTTGTCACAAAAAAAAAAGGTTAAGATTTTCTTATCCTGATGCACTTTTCACATTCAGGTTATAAATTTCAGTCTGCGCCATTTTAATGCTGCGCCAATGATAGCTATTGTCCCATTTGGACATCATTGGGCCCATTGACTTGAACAGATGTTCCTTCAACTTTTCCAAAATTAGTTGCATTCTATTTCTTTGTTTTGCGCACTTATTGATAAAATCAGGCAGATGTGCCTACATTCACTACCGTGGGATAAAGTAGGATTTACCAGATTCCTTTACAGAGTATCCCAGAGCAAGAGAACAAAAAATACCCATGATGCTACAACACAGAACCCCCATGCCTAGAAACTAAAACAAAGGCAATGTGGATGACGAATGTTGCGGGAAAAAGCAATATACTAAAGTCTTCTGAAGGTGGAAAAACTCTTTGCAGAATGAGGATCATGAATTCCATGGAGAATTTTGGCCAGCGACCTTAGTGAGGACCATATAAGCCCAATGTGGGGGAAATTCTGACCTTTCAGTTACTGATGGCTACAAGTCCCAGCTTGTCATGTCAGTCTGAAGAGCAGAAGGGCCACTCTTTGCAAAGCCATTTAAAAAACAAAAAAGGGGGCATGCCACTGGTCACTAACAATAAATCAGCAAAATAAAATTTGACCAAAAAAAAAAAAAAGAGAAATAATAAAATAAAAAGAAATAAAAATTGTTACAGGAGTAATATACAAAGCTTTCAAGAAATGTTGCAACACGCACTCACACACAGCAGAGAACATTCAGAAATGGCCGAGCTGAAGAGAAATAAAAGTCCATCGAGCATTCCAACCGAACCGTAGTGTTCAATTCGGCCAGCGTCTTCCATTTTACTTTTCGCAAAGTCCACGTGCTAACTTATTGTCTTGCATTTTTTTTTCTTCCATCCAGAGACTGAAAGGCAGCGAGTCGAGGAATGCCAAGCGTTAACTATCAGCGATGCTATTTATTGAAGTCTAGAGCTGGTCATCCAATGTGGCAAGATCAACTATCCAATCCACAATCCCAACTTTTGCAAGAAAGTTTTTGAAGTCTACAATCCAAAGCCAGTCTTGTTTTGTCCTTCAAGATGTTGGGTTTGAGCATACATAACATTTAAAGTGAATACGTCCTGAAAGCATTCCATCCCCCCCTCCCAACTAGAGCATCATAGGTTATCCACCAAAACAGGAACAAGAGAAACAAGTGACCGCCATCTTCATCAAAATGATCCTTCTCATCTCAGTAAATATACCCACTGTTCCCGGCCTTCAAAGAATTCCACCTCACCAGTCCAGCATAAAAAAAGTGTCAGAAAAACTTCCCTATGGCTTTGTAAGACTTAGAAAAGTGGTATCTAAAGCCTTCATTTATTTATTTTAAAGCCCGAGTCAAAACAAGAGATCGACTCAACCATTTTCTCGAAGCTTAAAGAAACATTCTTTCAACTTGTCCTTGTAGCTTATATTTTTTCAACAAACCATTGAAACGTCAGTAAGAAAAAAAAACAAAAAAAACAGCACCAATTATTTTACAAAACATTCAAAAAAAAAAAAAGAAGGGGGGTGGGCTGAAGGACTGGGATGAGAGCAGGTCCGTAACCAGGCTGCTAAAAAAAGTGCACTGTTGGCCTTTAGTACTACACGTGGAACCTGAACTAGTGGGTGATGCCTTCAGCAGTGGACACGTGCAGGCATTGAAAAAAGGTATTGGCAGCAAAAAGGGGGTTGCAGAGCTTTTATTTAACATTCTGCTGACTTGAGACAGAATAGAGAAGCTAAAAAAAAAAATATATATAGATTTACAAATAAAAAAAAATTAAAAGTCACAGCTTCTCAGCAAATAAGCCAAAAAAAGGATTCTCTGCTGTCAGATAAAGTAAAGAGTGTTAAAAAAGGTGAATCTGCACACCCAACTTGAACCAAATACTCAAGCAAAAATGGCGCCACGCTTCTAAGGACTGACAACGAGCTGTTTTTGTGTAGAGCATTCAGTCAAATTTCTTTGAGTCAATGCAACAAGAACATTGTGAACAGAGAAAAAAAACAAAAAACGCTGCCACTGTTCTTAAGCATTATTAGTTTCATGGAGTGCATTGTTACAAGTGTCCTGTGCCCTGTCCCAAACCCCGCCCCCCCCCCAAAAAAAGCACATTTGAAATATTAAAGAAACAGGTAAACAATTTCTAGAGCTTCAGTCAGTCAGCGAAAACTGAACGAAGGTCTCTCCTCTTGGTTCATTTTCACCAACATCATTCAGTCTCCATCACTTTCAGCTTGTTGACACTGACTGGGAGGGCAGGAAATGTCTGTCGTTTCATAATCTATCTTCCAAGGACTTGTGGTCAAGTCCTGATCATGGAGTAAGTCAGCAATTTTTTTTTTAATTTCATTTTTTTTTATATATAAACAGAACATAAATTTTAAAATGTGTTGCCACCTCCCTCAGTCAGGTGATAAAAAAAAAAAAGCATGGAGCTAAGAAAAGCTTACTGGGAGTTTCCTCCTTGTCGAAAATAAAAATAATATTCAAAAGCGCAACAGAATCTCAAAAATAAAATTAAAAAAAAACGGAACAACCTCAACTTTTTAATTTCACTTTTTCCGTTGCCTCAAGCTTCACTCTGTTTTTTGTTGTTGTTTTTGTTTAACTCAACAGAAGTTCACCTTTCCTCAGCTTCTTCATCATTGTCTTTATGATGTGTTCTCTTCTGAACCTCTCAAGATGTTTTGTTTTTTTTTTCCCATTGCCGATGAGATGAGGAAAAAAAAAAAAACTAAGATGAAAAAAATAAAGAAAAACCATTTCCTCTGGAGATCCCAGGAAAATGTAACAAAAAATAAAGAGACAACAAACAAAAACCAAGAGTGATCGTGTCCACCTGGGCCGTCTTGGCATTACTGAGATGGCAGCGGGATCATTCAATGTTGCTGCTGTCGAAGCTGTGGCACTGCAGGTCGCTGGCGGCGTAATCGCTTCCGGGAAGCTTAAGTCCGTACTTGTCTACGCACCAGCAGATCCCACGCTTGCGACCTCTGGAGGGCTTGCACTGTCAAGGGAAAAGGAAAATAATTTTTGAGAAAATGGAACTTGGGTTACATAAAACTTTGATACTAAAAACTCTGCAACTGGTTTTGTTTTTGGATTAAAACAAATTCTGTCTGATCACCAGCCATGAGTTCTCCGAATACTCTTACGGGGGAGGATCCACTAGAGGGCGTATGACCACAAGGAATATAAATCCACTGTGTGCAGAGAATTGCAATCAATGGGGAAGATGGGGGGGGAGAGATGCTGTGCTGGCGACGCCATCCACTGCATGGTCTTAGCAACCTGGCTAGGGGCTGGGCGGACCAGCCGCCATAGTGTCCAAGGTTGCCAAGTGCTGGGTGGGGAGATGTGTATGTCACGGCATAGCCACCCTGCAAACATTGTGCAGCAGAGTGGCCATGCCGTGACCCAAAGAGATGCGGCCTGAGGCAACCGCCTCATTATAGGGATGGCCCTGACTGTGCAGAGAGCAGAGCTGGGGAGGGACCCAGCAAATCCCTCCCTCTACAGGCTGCCTGCAGAAAACTACAGGAGGAGTGGTGGAGACAAGACCAGTCATCCTGCACAAGAAGAGAGAGCAGCAGTAGTTGGTCTTTATTACAGGAGGGGGCGGAGACAAAGACCAGTCACCCTGCACAAGGAGAGAGAGCAGCAGTGACCAATCTGTATGACAGGAGGGGGCGGAGGAAAGACCAGTCACCCTGCACAAGGAGAGAGAGCAGCAGTGACCGGTCTTTATTACAGGATGCGGAGGCAAGACCAGACACGCAGCACAAGGATAGAGAGAGCAGCAGTGACCGGTCTTTATTACAGGAAGCTCCAAGTCTCACACGGGATTACTGCACAGACCTGGAAAATACACAAAGCTCACCAAGATTCAAGAAGAATACACATGACTCTTATATGAGGACAATATTTGCTTGTCCTGGAGTTCAGCTTTAGGGCTGAGTTGGGAAGACCTCAAAACGAGGTCTTTGATCCTTGCCGGTTCCCACCTGCTGTCTAAGACCTGCTCAGGCCCAACCAAAAAGGAGACCTCTACTATTTGATGTTCAAATACATTTTCTTCCTAAAGACTTGGTATGAAAGAGGTGAGAAATAATGAAATGCCTGACGTCTGCCACCCCTCCTCCCCCACACCCACCTGAAATCTTTCAGCCCTAGGCCCTCACCTAAGTGACCTTTTCACAAAACCAAAGCTTGTGTACGGATGACAGGCACTTATCAATATTACTAATCAAAGCGCCGCCAAAAATCTCTTTGTTGTCTGATACTCTGCGAGCAGAGAAGTGGAATGAAGGGTCCAAGTCTGTGACTTGTCCTAGTAGGTGAACATTTTTTTGGAGATGTTCTTACTTGCTTCCTTTTGAAGAATCCTTTCCGGTCACAGTTAGGAATATAAAATGCCCTTGGGTACACCCGATGAGACATCTTCATGTCCTGCATAACGGTCTCCATCTGTCTACGGCAAGGACCCTGAAACAAAAGTATTATGTTAGTCATTGCAGCAGTAGAAGGTACAAAAGGTTCATTTTACTTGAAACCACAGCAGTAGAAGAATTTTTAATTAGGGAGTAGAAAGGTTTGTAGGTCTATCTGGTTTTTACTGCGATCTGAGACTACATTGGGGAGATTTATACTAATGTGCAAGTGACGCCTATGATACCAGGACAAGAAATTAGGAGAACCAGAGTCACCCGGACTGGGAGGCCCAGCAATAAACCCAATCAAGTTTAATACAAATTGGTTTCTGTTGCCACCTCTATCTTCTTTGAGAGGAAAGCCCCACCGGTTCCTGTCCCTCTGACTCCCTGTCACTAGGACAGGATGGGAATAGAGATCTCCTCAATGGTGCAACCAGAAGGAGCCTCTTAACCTTCCCAACTCTATCCAAATCTCCAGTGCAAGTTTGCATGTCATGAAAAACCACCAATATCAGCGTGTTGGTCCTTGTAGTTGCCCTGTCACTAGGACAGGATGTGAATAGAGATCTCCTCAATGGTGCAACCAGAAGGAGCCTCTTAACCTTCCCAACTCTATCCAAAACAAAATGGAACATTTTTGGCTGGAACCTCCAGTGCAAGTATGCATGTCATGAAAAAGCACAAATAACAGCGTGTTGGACCTTGAAGTTGCCCCCTGCCACTAGGGCAGGATGTGAATGGCGACCTTCCCAATGGTTACACCAGCAGTAAGAACAACCAGAAGGAGCGTCTTAGCCTTCCCAACTCTATCCCCCCAAAAATACATACAAAAATCTCTCTGGCTGGAGCCTCTGACCAAGTGTGCATGTGGTCATGACAAAACACAAATATCAACGAGTTGGACCTTGTAGTTGCACAGCTCCTTGGAGGCCAGTACCCAGGTGTTATGTATGAAAAATACAACTCCAAGGGTTCACATTAAAAAGGACTCTGCACTACAAGCAAAAAATAAAAAAATACAATGGCGTTGTAGTGCATGTCCTTTACTATGGAAAAGTGGGTCATGGATAAATGCACCAACACCCAGTGGGTAGGGTTTCCTAAAAACCCCTTATGGCTCTACGCAAGAATGTTAAGCACACTGATTGGTGTCAGGTGGGATAAGGCTCCCAAGAAGGAAAATGGCATGGATTAGTATGGCCAATGGTGCAGTTTATTGCAAGCAGCAGAACTTGGATGGACCCACCTAATGACACTCACTCATATAAAACTCATTTATAATAAGCGTTTGGCCCATCATACGTTCTTTACCCAGTCAGTGACACCTTTACTCACCATCTCGGACTCGATGCTGTACTCAGAGTGGCTTTGACCTTTGTTCTCCACTGACACGATCCTTGAGGCAGATTGTTTTTTCTGACGGAAGTTGTTCAGGGCGATGACTTTGTGTTCCGGGACCCCTCGGCCCCCTTTGCGAGGCTTTGTCGGGTAGTTTTCGTCTGTCTCTGATGTAGTCGGATCTTCCTCCCTGGACTCCCGCTCTGCAAGAGAATTGCAACTTTGAGTCTTCACAAAACAAACACAAGAAAACAAGTTATTTCTGAAAAGGGAAAACAAATGTACTTCATGTTCTACAATTCAAAAAAAAATAAAAAATGCAACAGTATTTTATGCCAAATTTTTTTAATTATTCACATATACATATTTAATATATTTGGGGTCAGACTGGTGTCAATGAACTAGGGATTCTGTGTCCCTGAAAATAATTTCAGCTCGCTACCACTAGCTATGGACAGCCACTAGGGGGAGACACAGCCTAACATTTTCAAAAACAGCGCTAATTGTTATACCATTAAGAACACAATGGGCTTCGTTGTCCAAAAAAAAGTTTGCACTACCCCAACAACCAGCCACCTTCCAGAGGTCATTCTTCCAGCACAGGTTGGAGAATGCAAGCTCAGCACCGCAGCCCGGCATGTACTAGTGCTCCTTGTTTAGCACCTGGCGGCCCATGATGCTAGTACTAGGGATATTTAGAGTTTAGTCCCTCATAAGCCATGATTGTGGCGTGGTGTCAATGGAGGTGGCCCATTGCTGACCTCCAGCTGGACAAGAAGTCTCCACATTTTTGGACAAAGACAACCAGGTCACCCTCCCCCCTCCAACAAAGAAATCTAGAATACAGAAAGATGCAGCTTAGGAAGGAGGAGGGACTGGTTATGCACATACATTGACTTAAATAACATTTTACAAAAAAGTTACTTTGTTTTGAAAGGCAGCTGCCTCCACACATTCGTACCAATTACTACAGCAAAGTCAAGGAATTCACATCCTCCAGGTGCTGAACATCTCCATGTCCCAGCTGCACTGCATGGCTTGCCTGCAGGGACCAATGCAAAGACTGTACCAAGTCCCTGCTCAATCAAGGTCCTTTAGAGCCCAAGGGGAAAGGAACTACCCCCCCCCCCCCCCCCCCACGATCTGTGAACTACTTCAGAAGCATAGGTTGTGACCCCCTCTTCTGCCTACCCCTCAGTCCGTCCCTGCCCAACCTCCTCTCCAATGCTCCTTGCTTGTGCTACACCTGCACTGCAGCGTTGTGCCATCTCTCCTCTGCGGGGAGTGCCAATTGGACATTTCCCTCTTTAGTGACAAGAAATGTACTAGGTTTGCCCATCTTCCCGACGCTCTGTTTTTCTCAATTTGTCCTGGCAAACAATGTCACCAATTCAGAGAGTTCTGGGAATACAAAATTTTACAGTTGTCACTGAAATAGGAGGGAAATGAGGGAAGTCTTCCAATGGGGACACCTGTCTAAGAGGGGATTTCCCCTCTCTTTGGAGAGGTTTTGTTTCCCTCAATTACTGTTGTGTCTTCAGAACAAGAAGTGAAAGCAAACCTCAACAATGGGGCAGCCAAAAAAAAAAAAAAAAAAAAAGTAGGTTTACTTTTAACTATTCCCAATAAAACACTAGGCATAGGAAACATAATTTCGACTTTGATTATACTATAAAAAGGTGACATCAGGGCAGTGCGGAGGAAGACTGGATGTGGCCCGGCAAACCCAATAGGTCCGCAAAGAGAGTAGAGGCCCCATTGCGGCCGACTCCTGTTGCCACACTGCTGCACACCCACAGTTGCAATGTACCCCTTCTTCTCCAAGACAGTCCCTCAATTGTACAAATGGTTACGCTCCTCTCAATGGCCAGCCGAATGTCCCACCAGGTAGGTAAAGTGGCATCCAAAAGGGCACCAGCAATTTGTCCAGTTACGGGAATGCATCCTGAGTTCCAAAAGGAATGTTTTGGTAGCTATATTTTTAGGCTTAGATTATACTTACATAGGAAAATTGTTTAAGGAAGCTTTAGTCGAGAAGAGACCCTTCAGTTGCTAGGCGATGAGTTTCCCCTCAAACACTCGATCCAAACTTTCTGTCCTCTTACGACATCATTGTGACCTTCCTGTCAGCTATTCAATGCTGTTGAAAAGCCCTGTGACACTGGCCCTGCCCCCCATAACTATCAATTTCTCCGACCAACCCAATTACCACCGCTCCCCCACCTTTCATGAACATACAATCACAGCCCACTCACAATTGGCCTAGCCATCTATGGCCATGCAGGTTCAACAATAGTGTCTACAACTGGGATTAGACGGTTCACTAATACGGTACAAGGCAATGGAACCTACAAGAGCAGGAACAGATTGTAACCAGGAGGACACTAGAAGAGCATGGCTAAGTGAACAGAAAGTCATTCCTAAGTGAGCCACCTGGACGTTCAGGCAGTGAAAGGACGGCAGCTGTTCAGACTTACTAGCCGGAGGTTTGTCTGTCAATAGAAGTATTTGATGACTTGTTTGTAGAGCCTCAAACTTAATTAAAGTTTACAATGTAGCTGTTTTGCCCCCATTAGTGAGCTGTCACTGGAACAGGTGTTCCCATTGGAAGATTTGCACTCTTTTTCTGGTCTGGTGGCAACTCAAAATTTTGGGATTTCCCCTCACTTTCACTCCCGATGACCACAGTCACTAGGAAAAAGAGAGAGAGTAAATCCTACCAACACATTCCATTTTTTTCCTACATGGCATGTGATGCTGACATTACTCCATTCCTTGAAGCATCTGATGGAACATCTGTGGCTTGCATTCTGCCTAGTGTCTTCATAGAATTCCACAGGGGTGACACGGAACAGAGATTTTGTCAGCCACATTGTCACCTGGCTGGTCTCTACCACGCAGGCATGAAGAAGGCACACAGAGAACATTCATGTAGACATGTAGGTCCATTTTTTGCTCCCACATTTTTGCCTTCATTTTCCCCAAGAATATCTCATATTCAACATATTAAGATCAATGTTCATCATATACCAATGCTCTCTGGGACTTTTACGTTCAGTAGGCCTCTAAAAAAGGTCACACAAGTTACAAATCGGACTATACAATGTTCTTTAGAACTTTGCTAATACCTATGCAGTGCAAGGGCCTGACAGATAGGATACAAATGAAAAGGATTGTTTAGGTAGGTCCTCACATTAAATAGTTTTGGTAAATCTAAAAGACAACTGTAGAGTTGATCTGAATGCAATGTGTATGGCTACTTCTGAGGGTGACCATGGGTGGCATTGATATCCAAAGACAGCAGACATACAAGCATGCTGTATCACCTTCTTCCTCCAAAACATATTTGATGGATTACGTTCAAGTACCAGGTCTTCCCATCCACCTTTGAATGTTACCGCTGTTACGTTCTCCATAGTATAGAATAACTAAGATTGGACCGCTTTCTTAATTACCATGTTGGGTGTGTAGACCTTGCAGTTGAAGCTCCTCAAGAAACACCATTATGTTTGCCCAGCTACTGAGGTTATAAGACCACCGTAGATAAAGCTAGAGTTTGGCGGACTCCTTTATATAGAAGGCCAGGTATTTCTTGGAGAAGCTTGTCTGGCATTACAAGAGCCTGGAACAGGCCACGCTATTCAAGCAGTAATTGCTGATACAGGCCAGGTCACTTACAAGGGGGGGATTGTGCAGTCTCACAGCAGCGCGTGGAACAATGTGACTTTTCTCTGGCGGGGTCGTGCTCATGAAATGGGGGGGACCCGGCATAGTTTCACCCACACTCTCCCAGAAGGGCCGTAAATCTGAGGCACAGCAGCGCTACTGACAGCTAAGGAGTTCAAGACAGCAGGGGGAGAAATCTGGAGAGTTCTTAAAATTTAAACCAGGGGGCCGAGCGTTAGGTAATCCGGTGAAACAATGTAAGCCCAGAGCTGCGGATATCTGTCTTTACGCAAGGATAAAGCAAACACAAATCGCTTCTATAGTTCCAGGAGGCAGAAGGGTTTCTACGCAGGTTAACAAATGACTAAGAATTTGGTCTCTGAACCTGGGAGAGCTGCTGACCTCCTAAACTAGTCCCCTAGAATTCGGTGTCTGTGCCAGCCGCAACTTAAATTCATTGGGTGCCATGCCAAGTCTATGACCGCCCCCACCACTGCCAGTTGTAACAATTCCTGCCGAAGACACGGGGACCCCAAAAACAGAGTATTTTCCACTTTTTGTTCATCTCAATGCTGATCTCTTGCTGCCTCTTTGCTGCCCACATAACGTGAGTTCAAATGGCCACCTGAAGTCTCCATCAAAAGCATGTGACAGGGTGACAATGCTGATTTCAGGGGATGACACCAGCCTGATGAAGGGGACACTGCAAGCGCTTGCACTTGAGTGGCAATATCAATAAATGGACTTTTGCTGATGGCACAAGACATTATGGTGTGCTGGCGACCTCTCTTGAAATTTGTATTGTATCTCATGGCGCCATCCATGATCAACACAAGCACTTGTAGTCATTTGACATGGTTCTTATTAAATGAACAGATGGTGACCCTGAAAGGATTTTTGGTGTGCTTGTGACACTTCTTCTAAGGCTTAATGTAGCAAGCGGCGCCAACCGCGGTCACTGCGAACACCCTCCCCTGCTATTGGGATATCCGGTAAGGAGTGCAGCAAGTTCTTCATACATTCTCACTGCAAGCACCCACCTGCATCTTGCGGGGGAACGTATCCGGTAAGGAGTGCAGCGAGACATCTACTCATTATCTAGGGTGACAATGCTGAGCACAATTTGGAGACAGGGACAAAGCGTTGTCACCCCATCACAGGAAGTGCCTGAGGGACCTTAAATGAAGCACCACCAGGTATTATTGGAATAAAAGTTGCAGATCCAAATATATTGATGACTTTTGATATTACATTAACGTGTTTGAAGTATAGGTGAGATTCTAGTGATTGGGATTTCATCTACTTTTGGTTTTCCTTGGTCTCCACTGTATTCAGTACTTATCAGCAATGTTTACAAACAACTATCCCGAGATATTATCATGTCTGGTCCGTCTATAAATACGAGGCTAATTCTGGCTATGTGTACATCGGATGTGCCCATCTCCCCTCCCCTCGTTCCATTTTTTGATGAGCAGGCAGATAGGAAACAGATGCCTATTTGGACCCATGCTGAGGAGGTGCGTAGAGGGCAAAGTGG